TTTTGTGGCTTTTCAGCTCCTGGGCTGAACTGAAACGATTGATTTGTACAACAGTGTTTCTGCTAAACAGCATGGCTTTAGGAGTACTGCCGTATCTCTTGCAGCAGTTAATGATTTCTGCACCTGCCAACTTTACAAGCTACAAAAATCACTGAAAAATCATTCCAGCCTCTCCTCCTCCTGATTACCGAATGAAGCAATGCTGCATTTTCCCCAGCAAACTTGCTCTGCGATACTTTCAGTTGTGTATTTTTGTGCAAGCGAGGGGGAGGTGTTTGCACCCTCGGGCTGTAGGGACCTTCCTGAGGAGCTTGAGCTTCATGATACAGGAGAGGCAGGTTGCTGCCGTGAAACCTTTGATGTGAGGGTTGGTATGACTTTCGAGCAGACAACTGACAGGTACTGATCGGAGACCGGCTTTTTCTAACTTCGTATTATTTTAGTTGCAGTATCCGGTGTACTGGGACCACCTTGAATTCTGTGATGGATTCAGAAAACTGTTAGACCACCTTCAGCTGGATAAAGTGAGTGCTCTGAGATGGGGAAATGGATATATAGTTGTAATAAAACCATAGTATTTGAAAGAGTCTCATTTAACAGCAAGTGTATAAAATATGACACAAAAATGTAGCCTATAAATAAAAAGGCTGTGTTGCAATTTTACTTTTGAAACAAGTTTATTTTTGAATACCCTTGAAAATTGTCCTACTCGGCCTAAATTCAACTGCTGTTCTAGGCCTATTAAATTATATTGGTTAACTAGTTTTTCATGCGATCCTGTGGAAGTTATCCTTCCTAACTCATACAGTATGGAATACCGCAATAAAGTGCCTTGGATTGTGATAGCTATTGAAGACAAAGTGAAATGTTTGATTTCTTTTTTTTTCTTAAGCTTGATAAGCAAACAGAAATTTGAACAGTGACCTGGAAACACTTTCTGTTTTCAGTATTTATCATGTTTAATAGAAGAGTGTGATTCTTTTAAAAAATGAGTTATGAGGACAGGTTAAAACTTGAATGACTTTCGTAATGAAATGTTGTGTGTAGAGGTCACTTATTTCACAAGTGTAACATGATCTGTTTGTTTGTGGGGTTTTTTAATTTGAATTAGGTTCACCTTTTTGGAGCTTCTCTGGGAGGCTTTCTGGCTCAAAAATTTGCTGAATACACACACAAATCTCCTAGAGTTCAATCTCTGATCCTATGTAATTCCTTTAGTGACACTTCTATCTTCAATCAGACCTGGACAGCAAATAGGTAAGGAAGACTGAGACAAGTGATCAGATTTGTGGCATTGATTTTTTTTTTTTTTTTTTTGCAATGAGATGTCACGCTGATCTGGTTGGACGTGTGTCTAACCTGTTTCCAGCCTGGGTGAGGGAGGTGCAGGATGGAATACTTGTGACTTTTAAAGCCACGCCATGAGGAAAATGGAAAGTTTCACAATTGGGAGCCTGGAATTTGACGGATGAGTTGACCTATGATCCTCTGTGGATGTGTGGTCAGATTTAAGAACTCTGCCTGCTTTCTAGCAAAACCATTTAGAATAAGAAAAGTGTTATTCACCATGTTTAAAATACACTTTTGCAATGTAAGACTAACAGCTTCCCAGAGCATTTCAAGCACCTAGCTGCAAGGTTTTCTATCTCTGTGCTCTTGAAGCTTCTTCAGGATTTCATTTGAAGTTAAAGCACAAAGTCTGTGCAAGGAAAGGGGAGCGCTGACAACAAAGCATCTTCACGTTGGAGTGCTGGGTGCTTGCGGATTGTTACATCTTGTTTCTGTTTTAGCTTTTGGCTGATGCCTGCTTTTATGCTGAAAAAAATTGTCCTTGGGAATTTTGCGTCTGGTCCTCTAGATCCTGAAATGGCTGATGGGATTGATTTCATGGTGGACAGGGTAGGTAGCTGTGTTCTTTAACGGCTGTGATGTCATCTCTGTCAAAGGTTTACTTAGCAGGAGGTTGTAGCTATTTCTGCTGCTTTCTTCATTTACTTCCCCAGAAGGGAGGAGTAAGGAATGGTTCCTTAGCAGGTGTTGGCTGTCAGAGCCACAGCAACTTAACTGACGCTGTGACCGTCTACCTCACAGTTGTGTTGGTTTATGTAAATTAGAAGGGAGAAAGTTAAGAAACTGAGGCAAAAGAGGAGAAAGTGCGTTATGTCTGTAGGCCATGCTCTGGAGGCAGGAGTGACTAATGGAACACGTTTTAAGCATTTGTCTCGTGTAGAATAATACTAAGTTGGAACCGTAATCTTCATCTGAAGTGCAGTCACGTTTCCCTTTAAAACTACTCTTTGGCTGTATTGTTAATACTGCTTTGACTTCCTGCAGTGAAATATGTTAATTGCTGTTTCTCTCTACTGAAAGCTGGAGAGCCTGGGCCAGAGTGAGCTCGCTTCAAGACTTACTCTCAACTGCCAGAACTCCTATGTAGAACCTCACAAAATTCGAGACATCCCTGTAACCATTATGGATGTAAGTTAATCCTTTTTTTTTTTTTTTTTTTCCTTTTTAAACAGTGTTTCCTCCCCTTGGCAGGTGGGGCCTGGATATTCTGCTAGCAACTTGATAAGAATTTGCAGCATATAACTTCCTATTTAGATAAGCCTTCTCCTGACTGGACAACACTGTGACTCTGTGTTAACTTATGAAGTGGATATTCTCTGCAGTAGCACAGCCATATGTTTACGTATCACAGTGTTAGCTTTCTAGTTGTCGATGCCTAAGCTGTTTGCTTGTTTTCCATTTCATGATCACTGTTCCACAGAGAAGCTGAGAATTGCTTCTAGGAGCAGCATATATCCAGTCTGATTTAATAAGCAAAATCTGAGATTGAGAACTAACTGCTGTGACTTGTTATGTAGGTGTTTGACCAAAGCGCGCTTTCGACAGAAGCAAAAGAAGAAATGTATAAGCTTTATCCTAATGCCAGAAGAGCTCATCTCAAAACAGGAGGCAACTTCCCGTATCTCTGCAGGAGTGCTGAGGTCAACCTATACATTCAAGTGAGCCTCCGCATTCAAACCCAATCTACTAATGCCTAGAGCCAGAAGAGCAGTAGGAAACTCCTTTTGTGTGTTTGCTCTCATTTCTTAACCTGCTTGATCTCTGTTCGATCTGGCTCCCAATTCATTGATCCAGAAGGGCAGGGCTGGGAGCAGCCACGGTCACGGAGGGTTGGCTTTGGGGTCTTGGCTGTTGCCCGTTTGCTCTGTCCTCGCTCTGAACTCTTGTCCTCCAGAGCCATGATTTCATCCTCACACAAATTACTGGGAAGGAGTGTTTCCCTCTTACCAAAACCTTGTGCTTCCACACCTGTTTCAGTGTTGTTTTCCATGTCTGACAGATCCATTTGCTGCAGTTCCATGGCACGCGGTACGCAGCCATCGATCCCTCCATGGTCAGTGCAGAAGAGCTGGAAGTCCAAAAGATCAGCCTTCATACCAGCAACGAGCAGGAAGAGCAGTAGGTTTTGGAGCACCTGTGAAATGAGGAATCGGTTTGGTGGTCTTCCTGTCTACCATCAACTGTTCCCACTCTGCCTTTTTCCTTGCGTTAGCCGATTATCACTGTGGGATTCCAAGAGGATCAATAGTCAGTGAACTACCCGTGGACAGTCACCTCCACCAGTGTCATGGGATAGATCTGTTTAATTTTTAGTCTTTGAATTAAGGAAGCAGCTTTGAAGACTACAGTTTTAAATACAAAGACATTTTTGCTACCAGTCTCCACTATCATATTCTTAAGCAGAACGGTATTTCTTTTTATATTTTTCACTCAGCTGTATATATTGCCACATGTGGATTGTGTACTTATAAGCTGACATATATTTTTGTTGAATATTTGGTTTAAAAGATGTTTAAGTGCCAATGTTGCCATCACTTATTTGCTTCATATGTTGCATTGTAAGTTAATTTCTATTTGAAAGAAAGCGTTCGAATTTTTAACTTTCTTGCTGTTTAAAAATGGTTTTCAATAAAACTTCAACTTCAGCAAGTGTCTCTCGTTTTGACTACAAGAGAACAGCGGCGCAGCTTACTGCAGTCCTGGTTTGCCTCCACAGATGCCTCTAGAAATTAAGAAAACCAGCACCTTCTGCTTGAATTCACCTCAAACTTTAATTATAAGGTTGCACTGGTTTAGCTCTAAGAAAGAATTATGTAGGGTTTTTTTTTTTTTAACAATAAGACATGCAAATTTAAAGGTAAAGTCTGGATTTATTCAAATACAGATGTTTTCTACTTGATACACTGTAAAAAATAAATATGAAGTATTACATGACAAGTGGATATTTAAGAAAACTGTCTGTCCATGTCAGGCTGTGCAGATAACCAATGGCCATTCTTATCTTCTACTTTTCAAGCTGTAACCTTGGGATTAAAGAAGTTACAGTACACATATGTTAATGTACATTTATAAACAGTATTATGATAGTATTCTTCTCTGAAACCTTTGGTGAAGAGTCGAAACATTAAAGACCAAGTGGTAGCCTTGACTTTTCCTAAATTCCCACCCTAGTAGGGAAGTTGTGAACACACCTAAGACAGCGGTGGTAGACACCCCCGCACAAGGTAAGTAAAGAACACTCCTGAAAACAAAGGCTTTCCCCTCAATAACTTAAAAAATTGACAATTAAAAATTTATATACAAAAAAAGTGATGTAAACAAGTTACAGTAGAATAGCGTAGTATTTCCTGATCCTCACAGTACAACAGGTGAGTCTCGCTCACTTCACTCTTACTACAGTACCCAGGCCACAGGCAGTAGCTGACAAAACCCCCCTTCTGCGTGAAGAGGCGCTTGAGAGGGTTGGTGTTTGCCGATACCCCTGTCCTTTCAGACCAGGAAGGGAGCAGCAGCGGCGCCAGCTTGTTACGACAAGAAGCCCTTAGCTTGCAGCTGCCTTCCAATCCATAGCAGAGCAACTGTTTCTCCTGCAGCTCTTAAGAGGAGCCGAGGATGCATCAGTTGAAGGAGCCAGCGGTGCCCTCCCAGTGTTACATCGCTACGCACTTCCGGGGAGAGGCAGAGTCTGCGTTTGCTTTTTTCCGAATGCTTTCTGTAAAAGAAGAGAGAATGTTCTGCTGCACAGAAAGTATAAAGCTGTGGCAGGATGCATTCATTTATCAAAATAAAAGGAAGAGAAAGAAGTGACATGTAATGGTAGCAAAGGGGCCAGGGCAGGGTGGCTTCCAGCTTGTGTGAATTGACTTCACTGAAGTTTTCCTCTGTGTATGCTGTGTAACCACAGCATTCAGGTAGTGCTCACCGTGCACTCTTTGAAGGAAGACAAAAGTATTACCTGCCAAATCGATCCCCACAAGGCCTTCGTACAACCCCTTGATTGGATTTTCTCCTGCTGTGATCACGCCATGGAGCCAGATAAGCAACATTCGGTGGCCATGCTCCCTGTAGCTTTTAGTGCCTGGCAAGATCAAATCGCAACTGAAAGCCTGCACTTCAGAGTGCACGGCCCTGATGGAGCTGATGTCTGAATTGCTGGGTTTGGACACCCCTCCCTCCTCTTTGGGTTTTACTAGGAGGCTCTAAAGTACAGTTTAGCTTAATTCCTGGTGTACTGTGATTGCTAGAGTGGTGTGAAACTTAATGGAGTGGCCATGGATGAGCTTGGGCTTTCATGGCGATAGAGAATTTCTGCCTGCAGCGCATAGCTGAGCCCCTTGCTCACATCATGCAAACTACAGGAGTCCTTACAGTAACCAAACTAATGGTGATCTGTTTCTGAAACTCAGAACCTGCTTCTGCTAATGTCTCTATTAAATTCTAAATGGGACTTCACTGCCTTCTTGTTTCAGTTCCTTAAAAGAAAAAAATAAAACCAGCAAGTTTCTGCTGTCCTATAGAAGAAGAATTATAGCAAAAGCTCACGGGTATGGTGTGTGCCTTGGAAGGAGTGAGCAATGAACCACTAACCCCCACGCTTGTGTGCTTTATTTCTAGACCAATTCCAGTGTGTAGATAACTCCACATTCATTAAAACTGGGATTTTTAACCTAATCTTTTGGTTGTTTCAAATAAGCCAGCTGGTTTTCTTCACACTTTTGCTATTACTGCAGGCTTGTCTCCTAGAAACACAGTCCAAGGGAAGGAAGGAAAACACCTGGGCACTGTTTTATACCTGTCCATTGTTGCTCAATGGCCCTAATGTGGGAATCAGTGAATTTCCAGTAATGTGCCAGCTTCTTCCATTCCCCAGGTTTGAGGTACTTAGTAGCTAATCTCCACATTACTGAGCGAATGTGCTGTGTTTCCAGCCTGTGATCTTGCTTAAAGGTCAAGTGCTTTGCCACCCAGGAGTCGGAGTCGCTGTTCAGATTGTCCTGCAAAGCCACAACAGGGGTTTCAGTCGGGATGCCACAGATGTACCCGTCGTTCTGCAGCCTCCCACATCCTCAGCTCTGCAGGTTGCTGTGAGTTCATTCTGGCACAGCACATTTTTTTTTCTATTCTCTTTATTCTCTCGTTTCCCTCTGTTCTAATCATGCATGTTAACAAATGCTGTTAATAGCAGCTTTGCTGTGGAAGCCCATGCGGATCACAATTTGCATTTCTACAGTGCCTTTTATCTGGGGTTTGTATGCAGAACCATTTAATTAAATCTCCTCGCTCCCCTGCAACATAGGCGCGTGCTCGCCGCCTTTACAGGCCAGACTGCAGAGGCTAAAAGTGACTTTCCCTAGGGCTGCGTGGGAAGCCCATGCAAGGGCCCGATATACACAGCACTACTCCTGAAGCTGCGCCTGAGCCACAGGCCTATGCTCTCCTTTCCTTCCTTTCCTTTCCCCTCTAAAGCACTGTCCTTCCTGGTATGTGAGGATGCCCAAAGTCTTAGGAAGACGCAAGGGATGTGGTGTTTGGCTGTACTTTCAGTGCACTCTCTGCTCAGATTGGTTTGGGGACAGACGGGGGACTGGGGCTGAGCAGCTGTGCCTTGCACATAGGGCAATGGGAGGAGAGAGACTGCGGGGCCACACTGGGAAACGCAGGAGGAATAGCCCCAGCTGTGGGGAAGTTTGAGAGGGAAGTCGGTTGTGTGACTCCAACAAGAACTGGTCACTCTGCTCACAAGAGGTGTCTCCCTTCCACTGTTGAAAAACTCCCCACGTCCCATTTTAGTGACCTTGGGCCAAGCATTTTCCTGCTCAGTGCTTTAGTTTCTCCTTCTGGGAAAAGAACTAATGCTATCCCACTCCCTCTGCAGGGCTTTGGGAACAGCTGCCAACGCATCTTTGAAAACCCCTGTTCCCTTCGGCACAGCCCAGGGTTTTTAACAACAGAGGCTTTTTTACATAAGGAAAGCCTTAAGTAGACGTCGTTGGCATGGTGATGACTTTTGTTTTTCTTAAGGTGATGAAAGTAGAGGTCAGGCTGCCACAGGATGTCCTGTATTTCTTTCCCTTTTGACAGCTGGTAATGTGGAGCCTCAATGGAGAGGATAAAGCTACATCTGCCCTGGAAAGCGCAGAGGATGGTTGTGTAAGCTGCTCACCTTTTCCCATTTGTAAAACCGATCGGCTTTGATAATCATGTCCGCCAAGCTGATGTGATTTCCTCGGGCAGCGACATCCAGAGATGTTTTCCCTTGCTGAAATTAGAAAGGGAAAAATGAGTTGGAAAAGACCTTGCACGCTTAGGAGGTACAATCTCCATCCCCCCCAGCAGTCTGTAGCACCAGGTAGCATGGCCTACTGAGCAATGCACCCAGCCGGGATGAAGGACCCCTATTCTTCACCTGTAAACACCTCGGATGTGACCCAGCTTTGAGCTACTGTGCGCAGGGCACAGGGAGTCATTTTCTAGGCTCTGCAGCATCTCCTCTGTTGCCACAGGGGACCTGCCCGTTTGGCAGGGGCGGTTGGGAAAGCATCCTGTAACCCACAGGGATGGCAGGGTGCTGTCAGGCTCCCAGCAACATGGGTGCAGCCATCAAAGGACCAGCTCAGCAATAAACCCAAAGCATTTTATAGCCTTCTGCACAGCAGGTTTGCTGACACATGAAACTGAAGTGATTTATACAATCTCATTAATTTTATAGGCTCCACATACGCATGATTAGAAACAGTCTCCCAGGAGAAGCAGAGGCTGATGTGACTATGAAAATGTAACTACACTCCTTACATGAACAGGATTTTGGATTGGGCAGGGGGGGATTTGTATTTATATCTAAAAGCTTTACAGCAGAAAGGAACAAGATTTTAAAGTTGCATGAAGGAAAGCAAGCCAGCCCAGCCATCAGCCATGCCAGGGAGAACAGTTCTAGCCTCAGATCTGAGCAGAAACCCAATTTCACACAGAAAAGTGTGAATGTGTTCCCTGCACTGAGTCTCACTGCTGTTCCACAGACGGCTGGAAGGTGGCAAACATTCACTGCAGCTGAAGGCCGTTTCAGGCACATGGCTTCAAGTCCATATGTGCTTTAAGCCACTGTGAATGGCAGACACTAATTTCATCTTCTCTGCCCAAGCCCCCTTCAGCATTTTTTTCTTTCAGGCTGCAGGCAAACTGACTGATTCATCTAGAATTCCTTTTGTCGATTTAATTAGAGGGCAAAAGCCCTGGACATAAGTGCCAGATCTATACCAACCAGATACTTTTAACTTATTAAAACATGTATGCTATAATTCTTGAAGTATATTATTTATCATTATTCAAGCAGATCTTTGATATTAATGTTCGTGACAGCACAAGTAGAAGGAACTAGAACAACTTTGAGAAGAAAAAGGTTGCTCATTGTGTGAACCGTGTTCTACCTTCCTAAGAATCAGTCACTTCTTTCCTGGAAAACACATCAAAATAACCTACTCAGCAGTGTTTCAAAGTCTTATCCCTGGAAATATCCAGATTTTAATATTATTACTAGCTTTCCTTGAAAATTATGAAAAACACTGGCAAGATCATCCATATTTTCCCCCCATATATGCCCCCAAAATCTATTCAACCCATGGAGACGTTTACCTTGTCTGTTAGCTTCAGATTAACTCCTGCAATGAGAATCATCTCAGCAATATCCTGCCTGCCATGCTCCGCAGCAATGTGTAGTGCAGTCTGCTGCCTCTGCAGAAGGAGAGTGAAAGGACTACATTTCAGAGAAGGACAAGTCTGAGGCTGGAAGGACAGGACAGAACAATATCAGGAGGAAGTGCTGTAAGAACGCTGTCAGCTCCGCCTTCCTTTCCCCTCTATCCCTTTTTAAACTGAGGGCCAAACATCCTCCAACCTCAAACTGGAGTTGGGTTCCTCAGGCTGAGCAGAACCGGTCTGTCCCTGTTCCAGCACCAGCACTAGGAAGGCTCCCTGATAACATTTCAGCCTAAAGAAGGAACGTCTTCAGTTCCATAAAGCTCCCTAGGGTCACTTATAGGACTATATTATTTCCTGTTCTTTAAACAATTTCTGTAGGCAGATAGGTTGGCCAAGGGAGGAACGGACTTGTGCCAGTTCTTTGTTCCTGGGACACAGGGATGGGTTAGTGTGTATGCACTGTAAACTGTATGCACCTCGGAACTGTTTAATGGAAACAACTAAAATCAAACACAAAATGTGGCAATTTTATGGTGTCATCAGGAGAGAACATCACTACAAGAATGAACATTAACCAAAACATTACAAACAAGCTACACAACGCCCCTCATTCACAAAAATACAATTTGGTGAGACAACCAGCTACCTCCAGGCTTGCCTCTCATTCTCAGCCCCCCAAACATTTTGCAGAGTGTCTTCTGGCCTGAAATTTCTCCCACCTGCTTTCAGCATGGAGGAGAGAGCCTGACTATGCAATATTGCTGTGCACAGGTCCCAAGGACATGGCACAGCCCACGTGTTGAATGCCATGAAGCGATTACCTCACTGCAACACTCAGAATCATTTCACAGGTTTAATGTTTCCTAAGTTGCGCTTCCAGGTTTTCCCCATTTTAAAGCACTCCTCTTTAATCCTGTCCCCAAGGTGATCAAATCCCCCATGAAACTGGTTCACATTGCAAAGACAAAGAACAGGAGTTGCAGTCTTACGTTATCTGGAATGTCAAGGTCACACTCCGCGTCAATGAAGAGCTTCACCATGGCTGGGAAGTTCTGCAGTACCGCAATGTGTGTCGCTGATGCATTTTGCTGAGGAAAGAAGACCCTGCGCTTAGGAACCGCTTAGCTCATGGCACTGAAAGGACCATGCTGTGCCCAGCATGTATTAGACTAAGACAGCTGCCAGCTTGGACTGGGGGCAGACTGGGAATACTGCCCATAAGCACAGAGCCCACAGCAGCGCTGGTCCTTGCAGAGTTGCTTTGTGCTCTTGAAGTCCTCCACAAACTGGCTTTGCCTTTTTGTAAGTGATGAGAGCACTGAGCAGGACTTACATGATTAACAGCATCTGTGTGGATTCCTGCATCCATGAGGATCCTGGCTATCTCCTCATAGCCGTGCAGTGCCGCGTAATGAAGGCAGTTCATCTTCTTCTGAGAGGTGTGTCAAAAGAGACGGGTATTAGGCAGGGCTTCCTCTCAGAGGCTACAGCTGTTACAGACTACACACAAAGATCTCCCTGCTTCTCTCCTGCAAGAGTCCCATGCCCCCACACTGACAAATTCATAGGAATTGTCTCCACAGCCAAACCAGTCCCAGGGAGCTTCACCTGCCTCTTTTACAAAGCCATGTGTAATTCCCTCCGGATTCCCTGTGCTATTTCTGAAGTGCTGGGCTCCACGCGGCCTCACCCGATAATGGGCGCTCCCTCCGGGAGGCCACAGGTCTGGGCAAAAATCCACAAAGTAGTGTTTGGCAATGGAATCACCTCCATGGAGCTGACCTGGGTTTGCGCATTGACATCGGCACCTGCTTCCAAGAGCAGCTTCACACAGTTGTTGTGACCCCCCTCAGCAGCCAGATGCAGAGCCGTCAGTCCTTCCTGGACAAGGCAAAAAAGGAGACAAGCAACATTTCTGTAGACAAGGCCAAGACAGAGTGGCAGAATAAGCAAGTCTCTACTCCATCTTCTGAATCCATGACATGTTAAAATACCAATTCTGATGGCCAGCGATCTCCAATTGATTGTTAGAAAAGTAAAGGACACAATTATCTGCCACTGACATACCCAAGTACTGCTCTGTCCTTATGCCACTGGAAACAGCTAGCCCATGGGCCACAAGACAGACATCGTGTTCACCATCTTCTCTCCCCTTCAGCCCATTAGCAAACAAAAAAGGATTTCATGTGAACAATGAAGACAAACCATTTTCCTGGAGTAGCCCAGAGACAGCCATAGGCAGAACTGGAAACCCGTGGCTCTCAACCACTAGTTTTCCCTTCTGAGGGCTGCAGCTCATTTCTTTACAAGAAAACAGAAATAAGCAGAATTCCTAAGTGATTTAATCTGGTTTTATTATTGCTCTTCACACAAAGGTCGGCTCATCTGGGGGAAGACAAATGCTACCAGAGTTACCACAGAAGGTAGTCTCCCCTTTCTTTCAGATCTTAATCACAATCAAATACACTTTTCAAATATAGTAACCAAACAAGACTAAAAAAATTGCAATAAACTTAATTGGGAGTGTGCCCTGGAATAAATAACAGTGTTACTAAGCCAATATTTGCTATCTAAATTATTAACTGTGTTCCAGCCATATAATTTCCCAAAAGCAGGTCTATCAAAGAGAGATCTCAAACAGAAGGTCCATATGTTCAGTGACTAAGTCAATACTATAAAGCATAGTGAAGTTCAGTTTAAAACACACTCAGTAACCATTTAGGCACTTGAATGTACAAGGGTCAGGGAGAAAAAGGGAGATTAAATGGAGTGATAAGGTAGGTCAGCAGATACAGCAGGAAGAAAAGGCAACACTTTAGAACTGGATATTGGTCCAAGAAGGATGTTGCCTTTCACTGGTACTCTGCAAATGTGACCTGCATTTGCACACATACACTTTAGATAAAATCAGCTATCTTCTAGACCTCTCCTGTCAATACTGACTATTCAGCATGATGACTGGCAGAAGAGTATTTCTAAGGAGGGAAAGGTGAAACTGATGTGGGTTTTATTTCATTTAAATGTACTTACTAAGTTCTTTTCATCAAGGTCCACTCCAACATCTATAATCTTCTGCAGCACAGAGAGGTGTCCATTTTTAGCAGCTAAATGCAATGCTGTATTTTCTTCCTGAAAGTAAACATCACTTCATACACATATGTATCACAGGACTGAGCGTTCATACACCTCAGCCTTGCACAAAGTACACCCAGTGTGCCTGAAAAGGAGGTTGTAACCAGTAGCACGAACCCGAAGCAGTCTTCTAATAGGGGCAGCAGGGAGGGAAGAAACTCAGCTACCTTAAACTGGAGCATGGTCCACCAGGCTCACTGCATATCCTGTCTGAAAAGTCCTGGAGAGAAATCCAACGTGGACTGTGGTGCAAATGGCTTGCAAGTGGATAGGGAAGAAAAACCCTGACATACCACAACCATGGTTACAACTGCTGACAACTTGCCTGCATGAGCCTCATTCGGTATCCTGTTCCTCGACTTTCACATCCTCTGCTCCTTGGATTTTACCTCCCTTGTGGGTGGTTTTATGCCCGTACCTTGTCTTTGGCACTGTGAGAGCAACCCAGACGAATTAGGAACTCCACCACCTCCAGCTGCCCATACTCTGCAGCCAGGTGAAACGCTGTCCTGTCCATCTTTGAAAGGAAACAAAGAAATATGTTCAAGAAAGGCTCAGAAAGCACAAGATTAGATCATCTGATGCAAGCAATATCGTAACACCTTGGAGGATAACCCAGTCCACAGGGGGGAAAAGTGCTGCACTTCAAAAATAGTTATCTTTCATTCTGCTGTTCACTTTTATTCTGCTTTACATTTGGGATGGCCCTAACAAAACATGGTGAACAGAACTACCCACTGGGGCTAACAACTCCAAGGACTTTACTCTTGCCAAACATTGGGAAAGAGATCTTTCCAGTGTTTATTTCACATAAATAGAGGATAATAAATAGCTTAGTAAAAGCAACTAAGGATAAAAAAATGGAATTAGTATCTGAAACCCCAGTTATCGAGTGAGTCAGAAACCCTTTTGGGGAAAGGCAGATCTCTTCCTGCTTCATTTAACTCCCAAGCATCAGAGTGTGGATCACTCTTGCAACTATGAAGGCCATGGAATGGAAAAGAGTGTGCACTAGCTATGTGTGTTCTTATGCTGTCTTCAGGAACAGGTCAGCCAGTGCTGGAACATGCTGGGAGTTATTACTTACCTACAATACACTCTGGACCATCAGCTGCAAAAGAGGAGGACACTGAAATTCCTGAATTTATTCTGCAAAAGGTTACACTGGGAAGCCCTCCCTGCCGAAGCTTGACCAGAGCCAGAATCCCCATCATCCCCAAGCCCACTCTGCAAGAGGGCTTCCAGGAGTAGCATCGGACTCTGAGTCTCTTCCCTTCCTGCTAAGCTCAGCAGAGCAAGATCAGACCTTATGAAACAAAGCAGCTAAAAGCCTTCCTACCTTGTCTGTCTTATCCACACACATGTCCTCCAGGTCCTCCATGATGAACTCCATCACCTGGATGTGTCCCCTCTGAGCCGCACAGTGGAGCAGGTTCCTGCCATTCTGGAGAGGAGATGAAGAACTGCTAATTTAACAGGTCCAAGACTGTGGGACAGCCTCTTCTAACAACCTGTTCCTGTTAGCAAAGACCCATTCCATGCCTCCCTGCACCTCTAGGGCTAAACTAGCTTGTGCTGCAGACAGCAAGTTATGACTGAAGTATTAACGTTCCTTTTCCCAAACAAGGTCTATTTTAAAATACATGGACTGGTGATTCACTAAACCCATTTCCCATTTCTGTAACACCTTCCACATCAGCATTGCACAAATGTGAGCTGAGAAAGCCACGTACATCTCTATAGCTACAATTATTACCCTTGTTTTAGGAATAAAGCAGAAGTGCAGACGGCAGTCCCCATAGCAGACACTGTCACACGATTACCTTAGCTCACAGGCAAGCCTCTCTCTCTCTCCCTCCCCGTCACTGTCTAGAGCCACCTGAAGGACCCCTGTAGGGAGACTCTCTCACCCTATTGACACAGTTAATCTTGGCCCCAGCATTGACGAGGATCTGCAAGACGCGGAGGTGGCCAAACCAGGCAGACAGGAGAAGTGCATTCATTCCAAACTGAGTGGAAGAGAAGAGAGAGACTTACAGCTAAACTGCAGCCACCACCATCCCCACTCTGGAGGGAAGCTGTCCCTCTACCTTCATGAAGTTTCCCAAATATTTTTGTTTCTCTCTGGGTTTTTTTAGCCCCACTTTCTCCAATTACTATTATTCCTGCCACAGATGGTCGCAGCAGCTGAGCAGAAACCTGCCTCTTGACTGCCGCTTCCCAGTCAATGGTGCGTATTAGCCTGGTTGTTACGGGGGAGAGAGAACTTGCTGACTGTCACTGTCTTCCCACAAGCCCCAACAACACGACCAGAAGAAGCCAGGCATCCTCATGCTATACAGAAAACCTCACAGATTCTACCAGACTGCTTCCTGGTCAGTGTGCATGCAAGGCAAAGGCCAAAAGACAGAGCACAGACACATCTGAAAATAAGGCTTGCTCCAGAAAGGCACTGCACCTGCCTCAGAAGGGAGGCCACAGCTTCCTGAGCACTGCAATGCCTTGTGCCACCCACCCAAGGCTAAGGCGAAGTCTGTAACTGCCGGCCCAGCACCCAGTCCCCGGCGCTCCCCCAACACAGAACACGTTTGCAGGACATGCAAGGGAGAGTGGCCTTTGTACACTGTCTTCGTCATCCACCGGGACATCGTGATCCAGGAGTAGTCGCACAGCATCCACGTTCCCTGCTCCCGCGGCCCAGTGCAGGGCAGTCCGGTCTGTCTGGAAGGGAAGGAAGGAGAGAGGGAAGGCTGACGTATGCAGAGTGTGTGTGTATCCAACAGCCCTCCTGAAGGCCAAAATCTCCTTTGCCATCTGTGGAGCCAGAACCTCTCACGCTGTACAGGGGTTTTTTTGGACATAGTCCTCTGTCTCTTCGCTCTCTTGTCAGGCAGAGAGGTGCTAGTCACCTGCTACTCAGAAACTGCAGTTCTGGACTATAACAACAGTCCAGGAATGAAAAACATCGCTGACCACAGATGGACAGATTGAAACAGCAGGGATGGGTGCAAACCCTTATTTCCAGGAACCTACTGGTCAATAAGAGGAGACCTGCATCAGGAGCTGAGTTAGTCCCACAGCCTTGGCGTACAGAGATAGCAAAATCAAAGCCTTTTATTGCAGCCGTGTGTATCTAGCACACAGGTTCCAAGGGGAACCATAAATTACCACCCTCCCTCAGCACTTGCAACCTTCCAGTCTGGCCAGGATGACAGTGCTGTGGGTTTTAGCATGTTGTGAAACTGCCCAGTTGCCACAGGCCCTATTTAGCACAGGGCGGTGTATTTTAAAGCTTTCACCAACTGAGCAGCTAATGAGAAGAGTAGCATTAAGGAGCTGCATTTCTGAAACACACCCTCAGCACTTCCTGCAGCTTAGAGATGGAAAAACCCAGCACTTACATTGGTTTTGGCTTTGATGTCAACCCCTCTCTCGATGAGCTCCTCCATCCTGGCTGTGTCATTACGCTTCGCCGCATCATGGAACTCCTTCTCTGAATGAAGCACTGCAGCACAGACAGAAGAGCGGACATTAAAACAGTGCTGGCAAGGAGCAGGGAGCAGCATGCCCCAACAAACCTCCCCTTCATCTCACCGGCCCCCGTGGCTTCAAGGAAGGATGACGGCAGAAAGATTCTTCCAGCAAGAATGCGAGCATGTTTGCTGGATTTGTCCTCTCCCACTATCTCTGCTTCCCAGAGTACCCCCGTGCCATATCAGTGCTCTTCCAGTCCTGCCAGCGTCTCTTCTAATTCAGTGTCTTTCTCCGCATGGGCTTGCTCCCGTTGCCAAACCTTTTGATCCATGGGGTTCATGTCCTCTGGGCATCCTCTGAGGCCCAGGGTCAGTATGAGGGCTCAGGCAGATGACACAGACCCTTTCCTCCATCCCTCCACTTAGATCCCGCCGCTCTACAAGGAGGCCTTTACATGTGGTCCTGCTGTGCCCCTCTGGGCAACCTTAGTCAGCCAAGCAGCACAAAACCACTAGCCTTGGCCTGTGATTAGTGTTGCATCTCTTAACAGCCGTGGCAGTTCTGGGCATAATTTACCACAACTGGCAGTATTTGTCCTGCACAGTTAGGCACAATTTAAGTGTGTTTATTCTCCATGCTGGGCCTTGCCTCAGCAATCTTCTCCTTGATGGAACGAACCTTCTTTCCAAGAAATGAGAGCAAAGCTGTGACTCTGGGCCTGCTGCAGCCCCACAGGGAGGCAAGGCTGGTGTGTTTTTGTTGGGCTCAGTCTCTGCCCTAGTGCTTCTGGGGAATTCTTTTGAGAGGTACTCGAGGCAGACCCTCAGCCTGTCACAGCCCGCTGGAGAGCTGTCTCGGATGCTCTGCTCTCTTCTACATTTCTACAGATCTCGGGCTGCAGTTTGAGGGTGGCAGGGGCTCCAAGCAACTTCAGTTTGTATCAACATATTGACTCCACACTAACCACATGCCATACAAGAGGTGCCAAAACATATTATTGTTCCTGTTCCACCACATTAAGTAGTTAAACAGGAGACTTGCTGTATAAAATAGTGCTACCCCACTTCTCTCTGGAGGGCGCAGAAGAAAGACACCCCTCCTGTGGACTCTTAGGGCAGTAGAGGTATAATCTCATCCTCCAAATTCTGTTCCTCTTACCCTCAAACAAAAACCTTTAGCTCAAGAAAAACATGAATAACACAAATCTTAACACCAGATAGGATTATTCAAGAGTGTTGGACCTGCTGCTACAATGAAGGCAGTAGGATCTGGACAGTGATTTCTGCAGGAACAGGATTTTCCATACTGTATATTAAAACTCTGTTCTGATCCGGCCAGGTGTGTTAACAGGACTGCATTTCCACACTGCATAGACCCTTCATTTGAGAGGAAATATCAGGAGAACTTGGGAAGAACCTGTGGAGTTTATGTTAATTATTAACACCAATGGCTACACACATACTACCTCCTTGTAAATGCTTATCTCCACTCAGTGGAGTCAATTCTATGTTTCAGTTAAGCAAATGTTACTGCCCCGGCTCTCCAGGTGACAGAACTATGTTCTTACATTTTATGATCACAAAAAGCATCATTGTCAAGAGATGCCAAACCACCCCTTGACTTACTCTTTCCTGTGAAGATGCAGTAACAAACCTTGCATCGCTAAGGCTGAAAAAGCCACAATTTATTTATTTTCAGCAACACATGGGAAATAATTTGATGGTGTGACTTTCCTACTTAGTGTCCACACCGGCAAAGCAAGCCCTGTAAATGCAAACGCACTCCTCATCGTGGCATGCACCCATCCAACAGCAGCATTTCAGCAGATATTTAGCAGTTTTCCTTCTCTTTCAAGCGCAGGTTCTGGGGTATTTCATACCTTACGGTACTGAATACAAATTCAGTTATCCCGAACAGCGTGGAAAACAACTGAAGTGATTTCCCCTCTGTGCAATGCACCAACTCACAGGCAGTTTATTATGCAAGAGGTTTAAAAAAGCAACAAAGGAGACGAAAGGCATGCGAAGAAATGCACTAAAACTGTCTGCTGGGCTCTACAGGACACAAAGACAACCCAGGACGCCCAGCGACCAGTCAATAAAGGGGGGCGAAACGCCGAAGTGGGGGGATACCGGCGTTATTCGCAGCATCTTAGGGATACAGGCTGCTCTGGGGCAAAAGCAGCCTCGATTCCCGCGTAGGTTATACACCTCCTTTGATGCGGAATGGATTTTTATACGTCTTGTTATTCCTTAAAGCATCTGGGCCCTGCCTCAG